GCCCGGGTAATAAATATTACAGTAGAGTATAATAGCAGTTCTGAGTAGAGTGTGAACAAAGAGAGACCCAAACATCGAATGCAGACCATGAACCCCAAAGAGAAGGAAATAGGGAGAATGTAGAAGAGAGCGAGCTATGAGTGGCCGTGGAGGATGATATAGAAGTAGCGAATGAAGAGGCTTTTAAAAGGTAGTCTGGCGAAACTGAAGACCACAACTCAGTCCATTGATGGTCTTGTACTGGTTCACTGAGATTTGTGAGAACGAGATTATGGAAAATGGTAAGCGGGAGGGCAACTACAGATTCATTAAATGTTGAAGGAACTGCTAATTGGCGAACCAGAGAAGGAGGTACCGCCTGAATGTCGCCCGAAATAGGATCAAATCTGTAGTACGCTTGGGCGTCATTGAAATAAAAAGGCGAAATATTCGAACAATCAATTGGACTTGCATCATGAGAAAGGACCATCGTAGACGGATCGATGAAAGAAGTGATCAAAGCGCCACGTGGCAGTGAAAGTTCGACTAGAGACTTTGAAAAACAAGAAGAATAAACGGAATAAGACGGACGTTCTGAGACGGTACAGGCATGCAACGATGTATTTGAACTAAATCGTTGCCCACAGAAGTAGCGGCCATATCATTTCGGCCCAGAAGGTTGCGGACAGTAAGCGTAGGGTCTGTTGATAATGATGTGTGAAGAGCAAATGCGAGGAGGTTCGTACGATCGGAAATGGCAGATAAGGCGTGGTGAAATAACGCCGAAACGGCCGTGTGAACCGAACCCTCTACGGCTAAAAGTTGAGCAGCCAACTGATTTGATGTGATCAGCCCAGTATCGGGGGCTGCGGAGCGAGGGACTCGAGTAATAGGTGTAACAGCATATACCTGGTCCGTCACGATGAATGGAGCCCCGCAATCTTGGATCCTAGTACTAGAGTCACGCCAGGACAAGGCGAACTCTTTAGAGTCACTTATCCACACCTCGCCTAATAAGCGGCCTTTCATTTTCATTACTGGGATAAAGCGGCAAAACTCCCTTTTGTTAGGAGTCCACCATAGCATGGATCCATCTCTTAGTAAGCAATGGCCTGCCTCACAGGAGCATTTAGCCAGATTACCCACTGGGGAGTCGGGTACCTCGGAACCGTGACGTTTGTGTAACATAGTTGGTATTAGGAGGCAATTGGATACTGTAACTGTCTTCTCTAAGCAACAGCCAAATGGGGCAGACGGCCGGTCAATGGCCGGGGGATTAGATGATGACCATATGTTATCTGCTTGGGACATATCACCATATTCGCACGATGGTGCTGCGTCATAAGTTGACAGGTTTCGAGGGAAACTACAGAATACGTTTCGGTGTGATTTTGGAACCGGGACCCAAAGAAATTGACAGAAAAGGTCACTGTACGAGTGATAATCTTACAAAAAAAAGCAGGCGTATCATAACGTACGGTATTGGGACGATAAACATGTAGTGGAAGAGGAAGAGGAGTACCACCGACTTTAGGTAAGATATGAGAGCAATTATATGACAAAGGAACTCGTGCGATGGTATCAGCTGAATCCTTTGGACAAAGCCAAGCTGAGGTGGGTACAGCACCCACGACAGTGCAGCACATGAGCATACAAATAGGCAAGATAAATTTTACGTGAGGAGATGAAGGCGTCGAAAATGAAGAAGAGTGACCAAAAGTTGAGTTTGCCAGTTCCTCATTACGTTGAACTAAAGCATTAATTCTGGCATCAGGCTGTTGCAAGGCAGATTCATTATCACGCAACGAGAGAGTGAGTGCTTTAATTTGTTCAGGCGCCTGCGATAGTTCAAAATCAACTCTACGGCGCGTGTCAGAGTAAGGGCGAGAGTAAGAAGAGCGAGGAAGACTCGAGAAAGAACGCTCACGTGAATGACTACGTTGAGAAGGCGTACCTGTATTTTGTCGAGAATAACGTGGAGAAGAACAATAGCGAGAATAGTGTCCTTTTCCTCCGCAGTTATAACAGGGGGGAGACGTTGCTCTTTGTGAAGTTCGCGGAATATCTCTGCCAGGAGTTCTCTGAAAATTATTGTTAGAGTTACGGTTGGAATTGAAGCCAGAAGAAAATTGCCGTGATCTATTGAACCCGTTCCGAAGCGGTGCTGCGGCTTTAACTTCTATGGGTTGATACGGGAAAGACGGCCGTATTAGCCGATCCGCAGTAGCTTCGGCTAAGAGTTGTTCGACCATCTGGGCTTTGGCTACCGCCTATTCGAAAGTGCTCGGATTGTCCAACTTCACGTAATAACGAATGTCCGGGCGCAACCGGGCTACGAACTCTTCTAGGGTGCGTTCCTTTTGGCTCGATGAATCCTGGCCCGCTGTCGCAGCGCGAACTAAAAGGAGCAAGCGGTTGGCAAAGGTAGAGGTGGATTCGCCAACTTGTTGCTGGCAGCTCACCAATGATTGTCTAGCCAGGTTACGGTGTTGAGGACCCTCGAGGTATCGTCTAAGGTGAGCCATCAAGGTACCATAATCGTCGCGCTCCTCTTCGGATAATTCTTCAACCTTCTCCCTGGCGACCCCATCCAGGTTACCTATTAGGAAATAGGCCTTTTGTTGGGAGGTCCAGGTTGTGGACTTCATCCTCACGACGTCTTCCAAGCGAAGGAGCCAGAGAGAGAATTGCATTGGGTCATCCCCCGTTGCAGTAAATGGGACAACCCTAGGGATAGGGCCTTCCGGGGTGAGCGTAGCTACCATAGGTATAGCACTGATGCGATCACTAACCGCAGCAAAAGAGTGATTAAGGTCAGAAAGTAAAACGGAATTACCTTCATTGATCTGCTTGGTTGTGCGGTGTTGGCCTTGGAGTCGTTACGAACTTCTTCCAGCGCAAGAACTGTAGCGTCACGTAAGGACTTGGCGTCCCTACCACGAACACTTGCCTTGTCATCTAGATACGACAATGCGTTGGCAAGATTTTTGGAGGCAGAGACCTTAGGAACTATTCCGGAAAACGAGCCATCTGCCCAAGAATCCACCGGGGTGGACTGAGAACGGGTCGTTGGAGGACCCATGAGAGCGTTAGCAAGTGAGAAAGTAGCGAGAACGAACACAGAACGAACGAAATGGATGAGGATGTGATTAATGACTTGCTTATGTAGTCATCCCCGCTTGGGGGCGGAGCCAGCAAGTTCATGTTTATAATGTTGCTCACCCCACATGCATATGTGCTGAGGATGTTATCCGATAGGTATGCTATCTGATGAGAGATCGAAAGTGAGATTGGAATGCGAGCTCCCCAAGAATAACAAATCTCGGCGACGTGGGAATATATGGTTGGAATGTAATACCATGAAATCAGCATGTTCTAAGGCGCACAGCGATAAGATGATCATATAGATCACACGTGAGTCATGCAAGAAAGTTTATGCGACAAAGATCAACTCTCCCACACAAAGGAAAGTTCTGAAAGAGGATGGAAAATGGTAGAATTTTGTGGAGCAAGAGGAGAATTAAGGATATAAAGACTTTGAACCATGTAAAGCTACGGGCGTGCGATCGAGCGGCTTTTCAAAGCATGAAAAGTACTCAGAATCGGCCCCATATCAAAGTAAGAATTCCATCCTGTACACTTGAGTGTCAATAGGCGCCCTGCTTTGGATGCGCCAGGCATTGCCCAGAAAAGGATACTTATAAACATTACTGATGGACTAATTCAAGTGCGCGAATAATAGATCTAAACAGAAGGGAGACAATGTGAGACTCAAATAAAGATTACTTCCCAAAGAGGCTCTCGTAAACTGAAGGAAACAAATCTGAGCACGAGAGCATGAAGCAAAGGAAAGGAGGTATCTACTGCATGAATTGTTCTCGATGAGGCGGCCAACCGGCCGAAGCAGCAAATAAAACATTATACTTGTAAGAGACTTATACACGATTTACTGATCAGTCCTTCGTTTTTTTTGTCTTTTAGGTGTTTTTTCGTTTTTTTCTCTTTTTTTCTTTTAAAAGGTCGACCTATTCAAAACTACAACTAGAGCTCATATGTGGACTATCAACGCCGCAAAACTTCACTCCCTGAACTAAACTTAACACCACGATTTTTAACGTCCCGAACAACGCATCAACTTAGGAGGCCTCAAAACACTTCAATACTGCACCACTTCGACGATACGACACTTCGGCGGCGACAACAACAACAACAACTACTACTACTGTCCACTTGGGTGCACCCTACGCTACGACCTACACTTATAATATCTCGAAACCACACTCGCGGGACGGTCCATTCTTTTCAACTTCACTTGAACAACCCTCGGCCGGAATTTTCACTATGAGCTCATACGATTGATTAGACCCTAGTCAAGGGTGCGCTCGATTCGAATTTTCAATGGACAAAGGATACCGTACTCCTTTTGACCGCTGCTGGAAAGTTGTTAACGTTCCGGCGGCAGCTCACATGCCAGCTGCGCAAGATGAACTTTACAAAGTCCTCAGAAAAAGAACGGCAGCTGGGAACGGCTTTCAAAATTTGCACGACGTTACGGTATTCTTTGCCCAAAGTCAACCGGAGGGGCAAAAAAATCTTCTCAACGCGAACAGACAGAGAAAACCTAACGAGTGGCCACTCAGAAGGCTCAAACAACCAAAACGAGAAGATTTACCTTAACCCTGTCCTATCCTAAGCGAGGGGTGAACCGCTCGCTGCTACCAGTAAGCGAGCGCGCCCAGTGGAAAGTGCGCTAAGGTCGCCCTATCCTAACACCATTTGAATAATAAGAGTTTATCGTATAACACGAATATGACACGAACAACAAGAAAAACAATAAAGATAATAAGATGCACACAACAGGAGAAACATGAAGGAGATTAACCAGTAGATGAATATTGTATCTCTTCTGGATGGTACAGGGAATCGCTCCAGATGGAGAAACGGACGTTAGCTGCAGCACTCGGTCCGTGAAGCCGGCAGACTCCTCAAGCTTCCTCGTCGTCGCTAGGCCACGCCCTGAAAGTAGAAGCTGAGTCATCATGGAAACATCCGCAGAATCCTCGTCATATGCTCACGTCCCTTACAGTCCCTTACAGTTCTTCTCCTTCCTTCAGAGCGCTCTCACGTCAGTAGTAGACATTCGAATGGGTCCAAGAGTCGAAGAATTTTTCAGAAAGATAGATTCTTCTAACTAAGAGAATTTCGTATTTCGATGGACAAACGGATAGAGGACACGGAAAATTAAGGATGTGTAGCGATGTGTAGCAACTCGACGAGGATTGCTGCTCATTGATCAGTTCAGGTACTCTGAGAGAGGTAAAGGCTTGATCCTTGTCCAAATATCAATAAAACGTCTGCATAGGACAACCACATCGGGAAAAATCTACGTGGCATTGCAGAAAATCCAAGCTTGCAATCGCTTTGCAACTTTGTTTTGTAAGAATCAGCGCTGAAATCAACAATATCGTCTAGAGATCACCAACATCATTTATCCAATCTTAACCCGACAGTGTTCGCTAAGTATCCTATTGAATCACTAGTAATAGGAAGCATTGAAAATTGGCCAGCTCTTTCGTCTGCCCTCTATCCTCTTTGCTGTGAGATGCCCGTTAATGAAGACGCAGAGAAAAAGACAAAAACGCTGAGTCACTACGGGGGACGGTACGAACGTGCGTCCGAGGGTTCGCGCGGCGAATTGCGCGGCAAAGTTCGTGGCGATTTGTACGAATGCGGCGCCAATTTTCGGGGCACAAATTCGAAGTAATGTAGTTTAGTAGGGTCGGATGATCCTCCTTATCCACTCCAATTGAAGTTTGGGCCCCAACGACAGGCGACGAACTCGCTCAAACCACTACGAACTTCGCCGCGCAGTTTGACGCGCGCATCCTCGGACGCACGTTCGTACACATACCCAGTCACTACACACGCGGTTGACGTCGGTCCTGTAACACACACCGGTAGCAAACTGTACTTGCGTACTAATAGCAACTACCGTAACTTTACGCTTACTTTTATTCAATTTAGAGGACTGATCGTTGTGTTGAATTCATGTGGTTGAGGACTGGTTTTAGCTGATCAGCTCACATCTTCAATTCAAATTGACCTTACCGTTCTGAAAGAAGTCCTGGTCGTCTATCTGCAAGCATATAGTCCTTGGAACTTCTAGCGGCGTTTTGCCGTAAAGCTAGTACTAAAGCCGTAAATTAGTATGATTTTGGTTCATTTGGTTTTGGTTGATTTTGGTTCACTCCATTCCGGTCACTTCTCAACTGGTGTCTATAAAATGAGTGTATGCACATTGACTTGACTTGTCTAGTTTAAATCACTTCACACCTCCGCCAACTGCTTGATTGTTGATCGGTCGTTGGTTGTTGTCCAGTCTGAAAGTCTCAGCTAAACTAATATTGCTTGTATGATTGAGAAGTTTTGGTCCATTCAGAGATAGGGAAGAAGAGAATAAAGAGAAAGAACATTTTGAAGCCAGCCACTGTCAACTGAACCAGCTCAATTTTTAACTAACAAGGGAAGGATACTTGGTCGCAGCGGTCATTCAAGATAAGATGTATACTGCTGTAGATGGTTTCAAACGCTGAATCAAATCTGTGTTTCAAATCTGCTAAACGATTTTGGGAACAAAGTTATGGGACCAGTCCCTCCCTGTGTTATACCACTGCGATGAAAGGATCACCGAGCCGAGCAAAACTCTTACCTGTGGGATGGTGGCCTGGCGGATAGTGTGGTGGACTGATAGATATGACATCAAGGTTCGATTCCTTGATGTATATGCTCGTTTTGCCTTTCGATAAAATGTGTCATAAACGCTTGCAAAACGTTTTCTTTTGGGCTCAATATCGGACACCTAGGGAGCTAACTCACATTTTAGGATTCCGGGGAATAGTAAACCAATAAAATTTTTTACTGCAATTGACCGAATATATTAGCCGCTCTACTCCGAACAGTCAAGATAGTGTTTCGAAATCTTCGCTGGCTCCCTGCACTTACGGTAGACGGCGGACGAATGAGTCATCCAACCACAGCCCTATTTGGGAGGGATACGGTCCATACATTCTGTCTAGTGATGCTGTCTGCGCTTTCAAAGCGATGGTAAAGGTTAAGAGCCATTGTTGAAGAAATACTGAAGGGCAATAGTTTATCGATTTGTGCGCATCGATTATCCGCTCATTCTTGAGATAAACGTCCTTCCAAGGAGCTCTTTCATGACGTAAACGTGGTGATGCGATGGGATGTGATA